GAGTAGTTCAAACTCTGTGAAACGAGATATAACTAAGCTTATGTCTATTAACAAGTCTGTAACAAAGTAAAACTGGCATATATATAGGACACAGCTACTTGCCATCGGTTAATCTGACTGCATGAGTTCGAGTAGAAAGCTTTGATAAGCATAACGTAATTTTTCAGTACTTTATTCCAGTCAGACACTGCCACAACAGATCTAAGTCAACAGAGTCACTGTCCAAATGGACTGCAGCACATTATCCCTGGCCTTTCATACGTAGACGGATATATCGGCAGTCGGCACTACAGGTGGCCAAATCGCAAACAGAACATACGTATCCAACCTGAGATTCCGTAAGCAATCAACGCCTTCGGGCTGAGGCAACTTCCCAAGAAAGTGAATTTGTTGACACATTCCACCACTTCAAACCTATCATTCAAGTGATAGTATTTGCAGTGCTTCGAAGAAATGTGTGATCAAAACCCAGTAACCACTTGATAGTTTCTACTTTTAGCTGCCACGCCTCTAAGCTATACAACAGAACGGACTGCGGTGCAATATACTTGTCCTTTCTTAGATAGACGAATATGTCGCCGATAATACAAATGATGCAAGTTATCAAATATCAAACGGACCATCTGTATCTAACCTGAGATTTCGTCAGCAACCAACATGTTCGGGTTGATGCAACTTCCCAAGTAAATGAAGTGGTCGACACACCAACCTGCAGCAGACCAGTCCTGGAGCACCATCTTACATTTGACAGGTCCCAGTGAAACGCATACCAAACACATTCAGATTTCTCCTTCACGCGTTCACAACACTGTGTATTGGATCAGCGTCTTCACATAACAGGACAATATCATCTGCATACTCCAAGTCAACCAGATGATCTTCCAGATGACAGTAGACTAATCCCTGTGAAGTCAGATGTTCATTAGCACATCTGTAGTGAACTTAAATAGGAATGGTGACAGTGCGTATCTCTGGCAAACACCACTAGCTGTCGTCAACTCTGATGACAACTCTCCATAAGCCCTTACACGGCCACAAGAGTTCGAGTAGAGAGCTTTGATTAGCGTTATATACTTCCTCGGTACTCCTTTCACATCACAGTAAGACACTGCCACAACACCTCACGGTCGACAGGGTCAAATGCCGCCTTCAGGTCAACAAATATGGCAATTGTCGGCTACCGATAGGATGCGTGTGTTCCAGAACCTGTCGGAGGGTCACGATCTGGCCAAAGCACCCTCGTCAAGGTCTAGTAGCTGGATGGTTTTCTCGAGTTTCCTGTTCTCCAGCTCCAGTTAGGCATCCAATAACTATGGATCCTAGGATCTTGGACATAATATTGGTCAAAATGGTTCCCCTATGGCTATTACAAGAAAGGTTTTTCGCCCTTCTTATAGACTGCGACCATCAGAGAAGTAGACCAATCTAACAGTACCACGCTTGATTCCCGTATACTAACTAGTACCTCCGTCACTCTATTCAGTAACCTCCTACTTCCATCCTAGAAACTTTGAGGTGGCAAACAGTCAGGTTCTGCTGCTTTGCATCGTTTCAGATTCAATACCGCCTTCCCAACTTCAAGGAGAGCTGGACAATCGACATCCACATCACATTTAGGTTCAGGCTGGATGTCGGGCAAGTGAAGCGTTGTTGAGGGCCAGTTGAACTGTACTTCAAGTGTTCTGACCAACATTCTAGCCGCCTGTCCTGAGAGGTTATCAGCACTCCATTCCTTTTCCGTGATGGATTCACTCACCATCGTCTTCTTGCCGATGTCTTGATGAGGTCTACGTAGTTGCCGAGTGCTACCCAACGTTGATATCTTCTCCACCTCTCTCACTCTCGCCACCCATCACTGCTAGTGATCGTAGCGAAAACTCTTGGTCAATCTACCTCAAGTTGTTTTCGCTCTTCATTGTGATCAGAGACCGCTGGAATCAGTCTTTTCGAATGAATCAGACTCAGTGACGTCGCGGAAATCCAATGATGTTTGCTAACCTTCATGTACAGGTTAGCAACTGAGTTTACCGCTGTTTCTACACCAAACATAATATCACGCCAAGTTTTCTCAGCATGAGCATTGTTGTCACCATCAGATAAATGCTTAGCCTTCTCCTCCCTATATTCGGACGTGACCTTCTCACCTTCCTGTCGAGCATATGCAATCTTCAAAGCCGCCTGTTTCCTGCGAGAAGCACATACTAGTGGGCCATAGGAGTCAACACACACCTCATAAAGAGCTGCTATTCCCCATCGATATTTCTCACCAATAGCCTATAGCATTTAAATATCACAACCAACCCTCTGTTGAACTTAGGTATGCCGATAAATCACGCATAAAGTGCTCAACTATGGTATAAATGTATTGATTTCGTAGTGATTACTTTTGTTAACGTTACATAAAAATTTGTGGAAACAGAATATTCTATGATTTTTTAAATGCACAAGTGTGTAATCCTACGTGATTATCTGGAATTTATCAAATATGCTTTTAAAAATGATAATGAGGATTGTTCGGCGTTATCACCTCTTCAACTACTGAATTGTTATGATCGATTGCATTGAAGGGCACAAACTAACGTCAAAGTGAAATGAACTTTCTTCGGAAAACATTCCACAGAAAGTAATTGTCAACTAGTTGTCAGAAGATAATGTCTACGCAATACACGAGTAATAGGTATGAGTTAACATATCGTGCACAGATAAGTTATCTAGATGGAATTAAATGCTAAATTATTCAACAACGTTGACTTCAAAGAGTTATCGATTCAAGACGATCAAGAAAACTTCGTTGAATATCAGGTTGGTTAGTGAGGCTTTTGTTAACTTGATGAAAACTGAGATATATTATTTGGTCCTGGTGATAAATTTGTCCAGTTTTTCCGTTCAACACTTCAGTCACCTGCTCATGTGTTAATTACAAAGCCTATTTGAGCGTGTTTTATTTAGTATGTCAAAGCAAGCATACATAAAGGGCTGTGCATGACAGGCCTCAAGCAGATGTCCGACAAACTGCAGCAACACACATCTATTTCAGGTGCCTTCTCAGCATGAGCATTGTCACCATCAGATAAATGCTTAGCCTTATCCCCCCTAAATACGTATTTGGGATCTTCCTCTCGCATTTGAGTATACACAGGCTTCAAAGGCGCATGCTTTCTGCGACCATTCAGGTCCAGATATAAACGGGTGCGTACTAGTGCGTGATAGAAGTCATGTATTCCAGAAAAAGCTGCTACTTTTCACCGACATTTCCCATTGATAGATCAAAGGAATGTGTTTAGTCTGTGTCCACGGTTGGTTTGAAGTCGGCGGACACCGTGCCATACAGTGTGCCTACTTATGCATAATCTGGACTGCGGTTGGCGAGTATGTAGGCGGAGGTTACGAATAGGCACCCTGTTTCTTACAGATCCATTCAGTAGAACAGCATGTAAACGGGTACTGAATAGTATTCAGTCGAGAGGCGCGCTTCCTGCTCTACAACCCAATGCTATGCTTACAGCAGCGAATTCACGAGCTAGCCACTGGATATCCGGATACTCTGATAATAAATTTTCAAGATTCATTACTAAAGGTAGGTGAAATCAACTTAATAACGACACTCAGTTTTTTTATATGTGTCTCAAGGACATATCGTACATTTATGGCTAGATTTCAGTTTTGACGAGCGATGCTTGCTTTGCGATTTGGCATAGGAGTTAGAACGGGGAAAGCAGCAACATGAAGTCGATTGCCGGGGGCGATTGTTTAAAAACTAGGAATGAAGTTTCAATGGCTTTGATCGTTGACAGTGGTTGCAGAGCGAGAAATTGGGTGAGGTATAAATGGCTTGATATTATTATCACGAGTAGAAGACAAAGGAAGAGATAGAATTGAGGAAGATAAGCTATGATTTTCTGAGTTTTATGTACTACTGGAAGCGTGCGGGCGGTTGACTTTTCCCAGCTGCCCACACCATGGAAGGTAACTTCGTCTTGAGGTACTTGAAAGACAAAAGTATGTGTGAAACCTCAGGTCCCATGCCCCATCAGCTTGAGGCCTATCACACAGCCTTCTGTGGGTTGTTGTTTTGAGGTTTAGTTGTTCTAACGCCGGGAGTAAAAAATGATAGGGTGTAATGGATTGTGTTATTTTTGGCGCCGACCTTTTCTAACCCATCCCCCTTCACTTTCCACAGGGAAGGCAGAGAGCATCAGCGTGGCACTGCTGGTCATCCGAGGGAAACACCTTACCGCTGTTACACATGATCCAGATAGCAGCAGTAAGGTTTCGCCCTCAGACCCCCATCATACTGAGGTGATTTACAGTACAACGGTAACTTCTTTTCGTTTAGTAGGACATCATGGGAACAAGAGTTCCACCAGCATAGCTCGTTGGGTCATTGCTATATGCAGACCAGACCAATATGTCAGGGCAGCAGCTATCGATCCGTCTAGCTGGAAATGAGTGTCAACTGAAATTCAGTGAAAATTAATATTCAACGAGGAAATTTTACTTCTTGTTACTGAACAGTCAGTGAATCAAACCTTCAACTTACATAATAAACGATTGTTAAGATTCTACCCCTGCTTTACCCAATATAAGTGTTACACAGACATATTGTGGGGGGTCAGAAAAAATGGCAATAACAGACTTTGAATAGGGTATTTAACTATTACTCTTTAATCGCCTGATATTTTTAATGAACTATGGTGGCTCTGACAAAAGGTATACGTTGAAAAAAAAGTTCTTTGGTGGTGAACACCAATGTACGCTTACAAAATATGCGTTACCCCTAGCGACTTGGATAATGAAAGACAACATAAAAATCAGCATACACCTTTACAACGAACGAGTTACAAAATGCATATTATATAAATTAGAACAAACAATTGGTTGTGTTCAGAAGCCAAATACAAACAGGAAATTTACGAACAAAATTAGTCACAGTCAAAAAGTACGATGGTGCTTCTCAGAGAATGAGAGGGAGGTATTTCTTAATGAATCGAAGCTTCTCTTCATTCTAAAATTGAAATTAACTGGGTGGCGCATGCACGAACTTTGCTACAAGCTGTCGGTGTGGATGCCCAGTAACTGATAATTTGGCGAGCTGATTCCCATGCTGTCGATTCATTGACATTCGTATCAATATTTGGGTTGTCATCAGCAGTCAATGATAAATCTTTCAGACCAATCATAGCTGATGCGAGAACACGAATACGTTTTGTTTTCAACTGTTCCACTGTTGTATTCGATTCCGAAGTAACAGATGTTAAACACGTACCAAGACATAGACATAAATATTGCACACCTTCAGGATGAAATTGTGTCACGCCTCCACTACCACGATCCACAGCTAGAGACAATATACTGAGACATATTCGAACACAAACACCGGTATGAAACGCAATTGAGGTAAGAGATTTGACTCAGTAGAGAATGGCTTTGATAGATGAACAAGTACGGAGACATTATGTAAAAAGGTAGCCAATGCAATCTAAAAAGAAAAATAGACCAGTGGGATCAGTTAAAATGAAAGTTCTGGTAACACATATGTAATGCCATAATCTGCACATTCATCTTTCCTTCAAACTTCAAAATATTGTTCAGATATAATACACTAACTAACTTGTCAAATAACATCCCAATATAATCACAAAATTTACAGTAAAATTACGTTTTTGGGTTTCTGTGTAGAAGCAAACAGCATACTAATCCCGATTAACCAAACAAATTATTAGTTGACAACTTACTACAACAGATAACTTACTCTATACAAAGTGTTAAAAACTGGAAAAGTGTTTTGTCCTAGCTGTTGACTGATGATAGATGAAATCCCAAATTATGAGTTGAACACTGGTAGGTAATACGCGTCATTCTGCATACTTCCCATTACTGATTCAATTACACTACATGGTTTGACAAAATCGGGGTAAAGGGTGACACAACAACAGCACATTGGTACCATTTCCAATGCAAAAGCTAAACAATATGAAGACAAAACTTTAAACAGCATAATTTCCTATAAGATTTTGCCTAGCCCATGAGAAATTCTAACAAGCACCACACCTAGGCTATGAACTTTTTGTTCACTAGTTTTGACCATTAGATTCGCCTGGTTTCCCTTTGACCTGCATCGCCTTATGATGAGGAATATGTACATAAAATTAAACTGCTACTGTTGAAATCTAAAAAGTGATGCTTAAAAAAGTTGCCATCTTGAAATTAATCATACGAAAAGATACTTGAAATCACCAGACACTTGATAAGCAGTCAGAGCTTAACAATAAGAGTAAAGGAGACACTAAATTTAAAGACGAATAACATAAATTAAATTAATTACTTCCCTCTGAAAGGCAAAGAAATACTCAAATGAGATAATAAAATAACACTAAACAACAGTAACAGTAATATAAAAATTATACACTAGGTCTTACCTGGTGTTGTTTACGTGTTACCAACTCTAATTTTTTACTGTTAACAAGTTCAGTCAACGTCCCCATTATTCCAATAGCAACAAGTAAAGATTTCGGTACAGCTATTTTGTCACTTGATGCCGATGAAGAATTGGAATGACAACGAATAATGTCTAAAAATCTTGGCCCATCGGCAGCCAAACAGTTCGCTAACAAACGCAACACTAGTAAACAGTTTGCACTTGACAATTCTGGATTCCCTAGACTAATTGAAAGTAAATGATTCCAGTTCACTGTTTCAAATATAATTTCACTGCATGCTGGCCAGAAAACCAAACAACGTAGAATATCCAACAGAGGAAATACCACATCTAGGAAGACGAATAACCTCATATTTAAAAAGTAATTGAACTAAAAGGACATAAATAAACTAAAATTCTGTATGCAGTAAATCATAACAGTATGGTGGAAATATTGAGGGACAATATTGTGATGAAATGTAGAAGTGTAAACAAATACACGTAATTCATCTAATGATGATGTGGATACTTATAGCTGAATATAAGTGTGTGTTAGGTATCCCGAAGCATCTTACACTACAGCATCCATGTTAACTAGAGTAGAGATTATTCGGGAAAACGACCAAGGTCATCAGATCAAAAGAGACACTACCAAATATGTAGCTGACCTTACCTCGTAACAGTTCAAGGTTACCAAACCTTAAATTAGCACATAAAGGTACCAAGAGGGAAGGCTAAAAAATGAGAATGATATTGTCCAAAGTTGTAGACTTGACCGACGTCAATTATTTCCATGAAAAATTTGTCCACTGTGGAGAGAATCAATTTATTATAAATAAATTCGCAATAAATAGAACGGTATCATTCTCAGAAGTCACAGGCTGTTGGTTTTTATTGTGTACAAAAGTGTGGGCTATTTTTATTGAATTCACAGTGTGTTGAAAGTTGTAGCATTGTATATCTATTGATTGTTCATTCTAAAAACATCTTACGAATATTCTGTTGCTCTATGCAAAAGGATCAGATATCTAGTTAGGACCCTATTGTTTTATGTTTGTTGATCTGTTTATCGCACGTTGAAATATGCCAACTTGAACCAATGTATTTTGACGAAATGTTCTTTTGTCTATTATCAGAAATTATTATAAGCGATAAAACCTAACACTAAAGTACAGTGCACCGAAGTGTTAAATTACTAAGTCAAGTAGACAAATCGTAAACCTCATCTATCAACGCTGAGCTCTTACGACTAAACAGTCACATCAGTGACCGATTTATGTGTAGACTTCATTCCCACAGAGAGACAGAAGTGAACTGAATGTCTTGGCGGTAAAAGTCTTGACTTCAGTACTGAGTGACGCTGGTCTGAATCGTGGGTGAAAATGAATTTCCTCGTGTTTGCACACAAGCTTTACTCTTTTTATGATAATGCAGGAAAATGAATATAAAACCTATAATGTGTGAGGCCGATTAAAGATGATAACATTATCAGTCTCTTATACAAGAATGTATGCAGTCATGATTCACTGTATTAGGTTACTGACTTTCAACTAGTGCGTCACGGGTTCCTACCACGTTCTACCTACACAGATTTACATAACCGGGTTATTGTAACAGGTGCGAAACATCAGATAGCAAACCCACCTGCAACAATGTAAGACTTGTGAATTTGATAAGGTCAAAGGTGAATAAGCAATCCTTAGTAATTAATTTTCTGATCCCCAATAATTCTGATAATTAACTAAAGGGACGAAGAAACTAATTGATACTTAAAAAAACAGCTTTGTGTACCATATTTCCTGGGAAACAAAACGATGGTGTGACGATTTCATGGTCTAGTCACAATAAGTTACTTGGTGGTTGCGTGCAATCAATTAACGCAAACAGATTAATAAATAAAAATGGCATAAATTTGAGAAACTTACCAGGACTCCATTTCTTAATCACCTCCTGAATGTGTGTAGTAAGATATACAGCTTGGGATTCAGAACAGTCATCAAAACTGAAACTTCTGCAAGCTTCTAAAAATTCGTCTTCCAGTGGGATGGATGATTGTGCGATGAAAGACTCTAGTTTATCTGTAGATAAATAAAAAAATACACATACTTATAGTGTACTTAATTACAAAGATTTATAACTCATAGCCTGAAACAGTTAATTCTGTGCAGATATCTAGCAACAGAGTATGCGAAACGTTCCGATAATACTGGTTGCAATATTATCAAGCATTTCATTCATCCATCTAGCCAGTTTATTTTCAAGATACTCACTCATAAAAATATCTAAATAAACAATCAGTGCTTTAACTCACAAGTGATATTTAATGAACTATAAACCAGGTCCCTTGGTATCCAAACTAATTGACTTCATAACATACTTCGAACTTACGGTGCATCATGGATATATTGTTCATTCATGAAAGCGCAGAATCTCTAACCAGAGTAACAAGTTCCTCACTTTCAGTCAATTGGTTTCAAGTGTGGAAGACCAAATACATGTAACGGCTATATCGAGGCAGTGAGGCATATCCGTAGTCGTAATCATATGGCAGTCAAAAAGTTATATTCGTAGTGAGAAGTAGACATCCACGCACCTAAAATAACATTAGCCATTGGTTGCTGACTAGTTACAAGCTAGGGAGAAAATTCGACCTAGTCAGACAATCAGCACCAACGTGGGAACTCACATTACTCCAGTACTCGGCACTCCGTTACAATCAGACTACCACAACACATCTTGGTCGACAGAGTCAAATCCCATCTTCAGGTTAATAAGTATGCAAAGTGTCAGCCACCGGTGGAAACGTTTGTGTTCCAGAACCTGTCGAAGGGTGAATATTTATTCGGTGCAACCTATTTCAGGTTCGAAACCTTCTTGGTCCTCTCGTTTACGTTGTTCCTAAGCTCAGGTTAGGCCTCATATGCTAGGGATTCTAGTATCTTGAGAACAATACTAGTCAAACTGATTCCCCTATGGTGGCATCTTTCCTCTTTGATTAAACTAGAATGCTTAACGATCCACACCAGTCCCACAGGACTGCCTCTAATTTCCATACACCAGTACTTTCGTTACTCTATTCAATAATTTCCAACCTCCGTCCTTAAAACTTCAGGCAGCAAACCATCAGACCCTGCTCCTCCTCACTGTTTCACGTCTGAAACAATTGATTGGTTATCAGGGTACCATGCTTCTCACTAATGGTCTCACTAACCATCGTCTTCTTACCAATATTCTCATTACACCGTAGTAATTTCCAAGTATTATCTAACTCTTATGCCTTCACCATCTCTTACGCCTCACCACCTACCATCGCACGCGATCAATGTGAAGACTCTTAGTTAATTTACGTTCAAGTTGCTTTCACGCCTCATTGTGGTCAGAGTCTTCTTGCATCTGACAGTTCGGATGACGATGCAGAAATCCACTGCATTCTGCTAAACTTTGAGTGCAGGTAACCAACCCTATTTATCAATGTTTCTACGGCAGAATAAGCATTAAATCATGCGTCATTGGGATGAGAACCACTGTCACGTTCAGATGAAAGTTAAGCTGTTTCCTGTCTAAATATGCACTTCATATTCTCATCTTCCAATTCAGCATATACAGGCTTTACTGCTCCCTGCTTCCTCCAATCAATAAGATACGTGCCCGTACTAACGCGTGATCAGAGTCCAAGTAGGTACTCTAGAAAGAGTGACAACCCCGACGATTCTATTTAACGATGGTTTGTCGCAATATGATATATTTGCATTCACAGTTGGTTTTGATGTTGGTGTACGTCATGTGAGACAGCATCTCTTCTTATGCTATCAGTTAGTGCTGGCCAGAAACAGATGAGTGTCAGAATAAAATTGCAAGAGATTATCATCGTTGTCAGTTCGATGGAATAGGATGCCGTAGATACCCAAAGATGCCTTTCCGATTCCCTCAGCGTCCCTGATTGTGCGCTGAAGTCGCTTGCTACTACAACTATATCTGAAAGGGTAGATTTATGCAGCGAAATTTACAGCTTTTGGTACAACTTATCTGTTGTATCATCCAAAATGCAGTCAGTGTAAGCAGATAATATGAAAAGGCATCACCAAGCCTCATGATCCTGGTTAATTTTCACAGATCTGTCTAGTCGAATAGCCTATAGACAGTTGTTGATTGATACCTAGTAGAGAAGTACTTTTCATGCTCTATAAGACCTAACTACTGAATCTCTAGACACTCGTAAGGTGAAGTTTCGAAGACTCACCACAATGACTAGGTGAGCTGGCCGAACTGCCACGCTTGGATCCTGTATGTGTGACTCACAAAGGTATCATACATTCATGGCTCGAAATTCCAGAATTTGGCTAAAGATGTCTGTTGTTTTGTATACCTTCAGCTTCAGACGTTGAAACTGCCCAAATGAAGTTGATGGTGTTTTTGCGATATGTGATATTTTTATGGCAGTTGTGCATAGCACAAGCTATTTGCACTATAACATTTGCTTTTGGCCTTGCAACTATCCAACAGACCTTTCTGGTATGGTGGGACATCAAGCGATAATTATTCCAACCAAATTAGTTGATTGGGTCATTGTGACATGAAGGCCCGACCACCACCACACCAAGGTAGCAGCTATCAGAAAGCGAAAGAATCTTAAATTTTTGACTATGGAAAAACTTATGACTGATCAGATAACATCCTACGCCGCTATACAGTGTTAAAAATTACCTTCTAGAATTGCTACAACCCCAGGCACAAAACTGAGTAAGCAATTCATGCATTGAAAAGAATTATAATAAGTATATATAAACTATAGAGCCAAGTAAGATAATAAATAAACCCTAAAAACCCAAAATGAATTACTCCTTGGTGCCCACTAATGACTTGTTTTGAGATGTTTTCGGAAGTTCTAATGAGTTTTAGTGAAAAGTCAATCAAGTCGAACATGAGGACAGTTACTCAATGACGGCATTGGATAAAGTTCGTGCTACACCATGAACTGAAAGCAATAGGAAATGTGGACCACTGGATTCCAAAGCAGTGGCTCGACGATAACGTGCTGGCCTTGGAACCCGAAGGTCCTGAGTTCGATCCCTCGCAGGGTCATGGGTTCGCATTATTGAGGAGTCCCATGCTATCCAGTGCTACCAGTTATCCAAAGTTTCTCTAACTGATGTCAGTCTGTGATAAGTACCAACCTGAGGTCAATAAAAAAATCTCCAAAACCACCAAATTGAAATAATATGAAAGTAGCATATGATTCTGAAACAAATTACAAATTTCACGTAGCTCCTCGGCGCACGAACCCGCATAAATTTAATACAGCTTTGTATCCCGAACTAGCAAAGTATCAGAAAGATTTAGTTGGCAGTAAATGAACACTTCCAAGGTAGTCTCGAAACAAACTATGACTACCATTCTATATTAGATTTGTTTATTTGATTTATAACACAGTGATACAGTATTATTTACTTGATGACATTTCGAGTAAATAATACTAGATCACTGTGTGTTATAAATCAAATAAACAAATCGTATATGGAATTAAATTCTACCACAGTCCCCAAGTTTTACACTTATATTTATGACTACCATCCCTTGTCACACAGTTTTACTTTCCATTAAGTAACATAAAACCTCGGTATTTAAGTACTACTTTTAGCAATACTAAATGCAAAAACTTTTCGGATAAAAAAATTGGTTCGAGACTAATAAAAATATTTAACGAAACAAGGGTTTATAAATTTTAAGACTTGACGTACTCATTAAGGGACCGAGACTGATTACTTTCATAGGTATAAACGTTACTGATGGGAAACAAGGTATTGAAGACGATGATGTACCATTTGTAGCAAGCCCTTTTTCTGTCGAAAGATTTTGTGGAATATAACGATGAGCCCCAGTAAACGGATCGCTGTAAGATGGATCACAGTTAATAGTTGAACCAACCTGTGGTCCTGCATTTTGGATTATAAAATTAGCAACCGTATCCAGATAACCAGCAGGTAAGTCATGTCTTTGAATAAAAGAATGAGCCGCAAACCAAGGATCTTCAGTACGATTGTATGGTAGTTTAATTGCTGGCATGCTTTCATCGATGTCAACAGTGAATACGAAATCGTACTCCTTGAATAAAAAACAAGTAACACCGTTATAATTAGAAATTACAAATGCATATAGAAAACGTTCAAAAGCCTAGAGATAACAAGTAGACTAAAAAAAACTAACCAATATGAAAACTATGTAAAAAACTAGAAAAAATGCATTATAAGATGTTTCCTGTTTTAGATTATCTATATTGGAACGTTGCTGTTACTAGCCGATTTCTTGCAATTTTAAATCCATGACGTAGAGAAAAGAAATATATTCACTTCTAACCTCATTTAGTGTACCAAACCATTTTAACATCCAAAACGTCTAATAAATTTACGGGGTTAAAACCACTTCTTCAATCTCACCGTAATTTCGTTACCAGACAGTTTTCAGTAAGCTCGAATCATAACTATAACCTGAACTTGAAGCCACCCTGAGGTTACCAGTCATGTCTATTTGCAAAGTCTGGAATCTCAAGTGGCTGTGGTTCATGTGAACAGGATAATAGATTGAAAATGTGAGACAGGACTTACAAGTTAAATAACAACAACCTAAAGTACACATTTTCGTATAAGATTGATAACTAAGATAAAACCGAAAATCCTACTGGTAGACTGACAGACCGTTTAGAAGGGGAAAACTAGTTCGAACCCCACCCTTAACCAGCTGTTTATTTCAACAGCAATCATCAGCCAGTACTGATAACACTAGCCAAATCATGGCCATTTCAAATACTCTCATTAGTTCTTAGTTTTCTGCTCAGTAGACCTGAAGTGTAGGATTGTGGCCCATTTATAAAAGCCATTGACTTACGAGTGACTGTTCTGAACCGCGCTCCATTTACTGAGGCCATTAGCCCGCACAGAACAGGTGTGGCCGGTTTGCTTACTGCAGGAAAGTGCATGTGGTTGCTGAAAAGCACTTTGCCTTTAGATCTAGAAAATGCATCTGAGATAGCCCTGTAATATGGAGATGCTGAAAAGATGAAGTCTTCTGGATACAATGACCGGTTATTTTAGAATGAGATGTATTTCTCGTCCCCTGAAGGCAAATTTTTGCTTCAGGACTGGTCTGCAGCTAATCCCAGCTTAAGGATAGAGAGTGAAGTGCTTGAATGTATCGACCACTCCATTCAATAGGTGAGTTACATCAGTCCCAATGCGTTGGTTGCTGACAAATTTTCAACTCAGATACTCAATGGCCGTTTGCCTTCCTGCAAAGTTGTGGCATTTATCGTGCCAACATGCGGTACGATTGCCTATTAGGTATCGAGCGAGAGATTTGCACTTTTCTAGTATGTGGCTTCGAAACATGACCATAGAAGTGGAGAACGTGAAAAGCCTTTATTTAGGTGTTCGACTGCCACTGCTTTCATACCGCTGTCAGTTTCAAGAAACCATCATGTTATTTGCGGAGAAGTTAGTCAGGGTGTTTTAGTCAAAGGAAGTAAGTCAGATGAACAGGTTGTGAACCTATATCCCCTTAGGTTAGGGTCCGCTACTACGGCACGTAATGTCGAGTGAAGTGAGTTTATCCCTGAAACAGGTGACCAGACAAAAACGTTGCAAAATTTCGGGCGACCTTTGATTATTTGTCTGAACAGTGTATTTCAATGAAGACCTGTCAATCGGGTTTCGAGTGACAATCGAAATCGTGGGTTGACGATTACAGATGACATGACTCAGAATCGACATCGATGACAAGGAAGTTTCTACGTATTGTTTCAATTTTAATCACCATATCGCATGTCGTTGTTTTACTTCATCTTCCTCCCTTTTTATGACTTTATACGACCTTGGGTTTTAAAGTGCTGATATGATGTACTATAACTTAACTTAGACCATTATACAATGATACGATACAATGATACAAACCTGGCAGTATGTCAATGAACTACTCATCTCGACATAGATTATGCCAGTAGTTATCTTACACAAAGTATTCTCACATGACAACGATATAAGATTATCTTTATATTATTAATAACAGTAATTCAAACTGATATCTTGTACCAAAGAAATTATTTACCTTGCCTTCATACACTTGACGATTAGGTGGCTGACTTCCGACAACATCACCAACTTCAATCCAACGAACCTCATGTGCAGACCACTGATAACATACAGAGCGTCCATTATCATTAATAATCATCACTTGTCCTTCAGATTTCCCTACATTTTCAAAATTATTGTTGACAATGGAAAGTGAACGACTGTAAAATAACGATTACATTTAGAAAAGAAAAAGCAATATTTTAATTGATTTTTGAAAAATACATCTGAGCTGAACAGAGCCATAATTGCTACAGAGCTGATTCGCATCAATACACCATTTGACAACATAAAGTGAAGTAGCTGAGTGAAGTATCGTAATGGACATTTGTCAGATTTCACTGATGCTTAAAGACCACTTTACTATGGTTGAGTGACTAGTTGTTATTTGATGATCATATTTTATTTGGTTTCCTTCAATTAAATTTTTCGTATATTGGCTAGTATCAGAGGAGAAAATACACATTCAGTCAATCAACTAGCTGAAGATTGAGAACAGTCATCATTTGAATGGAGCAAGTCAATAATCATCAAAACGGTTGGTAAAAATATCAGTCCAGTAAAGTGTTTATTAAGCTGGATACCAGCCCACCAATTTAGAATTGACATGGCAAGGTTTGATCAACTAAATTACAAAGAGAGTTGCATCAGTTCAAGGAGACTGATGACTGATAAAGTCTCAGTTTTCTCAAAATTTGCTAGATAAGGCCACTTCTAATGCCTGTAAGGCGTTTGAACACATTAATGACCGAGTCTACTGAGCAGCAGTGTGTTATCTTTTCCTACCTGGTTTCAAAACACAGTCACCAAACGATATGGGAATGTTGCAGATATTTGATGAACGACTCCTTTTTAGCAACACATGCACAGATCGTACACTAAATCTAACAACATGAGACCTGCCTTTATTCCTATGTAACCTGCTGCACATCAAATCAGTACATCCAGATACAAGTTGAAATACAGCGATATAGAAAAGAAAAGCATACAAAATCCGTAGGAAGTCGTAAGAAAAGAACACGCGAGTAAAAGAACGAAAGGCGATAGACATCAAGAAAACGTATGGATATATCGATTCCGAGTTACATCAACTACAGTCGTCCACCAACGGCTTCAAATGGAACGTCTAACTCCCCCCCCCCCCCACCCCTCAGAAAGTAGATATCCCTCATAGACACTACTCAGCATGTACAACTCGCTTGATGCTACATCACAGTCTGTGATATCCAAACACGTGAGGGCAAACAGCCTTCAGCAATTTGATGTTCTTGCTCGATAACCATTAGTTAAAAAGAGACTCTACCATACAACCTCCAGATGGATGGGATCGAATTCCTTCTTGAAGTTAAGAAATATGGCTCGTGACTGGCCGCGGCGTCGGTATTCCCGTGTTCCGAGATCCGACAGAGCAAATATCTGCTCGATACACCTACGAACAGGTTTGCAACCTACCTGATATCCTTGGTTTTGCATTTCCTAGCTCCAGTTAGACGTCTAATAGTAGTCATAGAACTTAGAATCTTAGACACCATATTCGTTAGATGAATACCACTGTGGTTATCACAAGAAGGTTTCTCTCCTTTTTTGAAAACTCGAACGCTCAGTGATTCAGACCAGACAGAAAGAATCCCACCTGGTTTGTACGCGCTAGCTACCACTTCACTCAACATAACCAATAATCACCAACCACTGTCCTTAAATATCTATAATACCAACCCTATCTGTATCTCATGCCACACCACGCCCGCCCAACTTTCCGGTTCCTTACAGTCTTCTGCAAACTTGGACGGCTTATCTCAGTGTTCAATTCAGGATCCGATTAAATAATGACCACTCAAACAATACCTAGAGGATGGTTGAACTATCCCTCGACGTGTTTCCACATTGTTCAAGTCGCGTATCCCCTTCGAACGAATCACAGACCTATTTTTTCTTAGTAATAGTCATACTAACCATTGACTTCTCCGTCCCACTTTTTTGATACATCAAAATAATTGTCTGTACCTTCTGCTTTTCGCGCCTCAACTTTCACTGTCCACCGATCCTCATGGTCAGTGCGAAAACTCAATGTCAGTTTATATTCAAACTGCTTCCGCTTCTCAGTGCCCGAACCCGATTGAAATGCTTTTATGCACAACCCTTTATTCAAACGATGCGACCGAGTTTCAACGACCGTTTCTTAACTTTTTCTAGGATTACTTACATACTTTATTTATAGTTCGCAGAAGACTGGAGATGGTAATCGGTCACTTTAGGATGAGTCCGTCATCTTTCGATAGCCGTCTAGCAAATTACTCTTTAAAAGCAGCCTTGCTACCGTCGCCATCTAGCTGTTGCTCAGAAAAGAACTTCTGGTAGCAGCTCCTACGACCACCTAGATGCAGACAAGGCGTGATTCCCGTTCGTGCGTGTATTGCAGAAGTACCAATAATATTTCACCAACCTTCTGTAGAAATAACCGATAACAACACGATCTATCTCTTCACTGTTGGGATAAGGTTAGTAAACACAGTAGTACGCAACAAATCTCTTTACACACGGACTCGTGTTGGCTAGAAATAAGTGGTTACTTGAGGACAGCTTAAGCAGGCGATCACCATTATCCATTCGCAAAACAGGGATTACATAACCAGCTATATAAGTGAACTTGTGGTTAGCCTCCTTACTTGTGCAACTGTATCACTAAAGGCCTCCAACCATCGATTCCCTTTCTCTCGAGGACATGAATCAAACAGTCTACACCTACCTATACGATTCAAACCAAAAGTCAAATACTTCATCAACTGGTGACAAGTTTTGATCTGACCACCCCTAGCCTAATTCCAACCCAACCCAACTCCTGCTAATGTCTCACGATGAAGAAGGCAGTGGATCGGGATGCGCAAAAACTGTCTTGGAGATTTCAGTCACTGAAGGTTCCCAACCCCATCAACTGATTTACCTGCCTTGCCAAGTACACTCTACCTAACCTCTACATTGCTCACGCGGGGATTCCATCATACGTGGCCAGTGCCACGGAGACACTTGAGTTCGAACACTTATAATCTCTTTAAATCTACTCATAACAGTCATGTCTCGCAGCAGTATGGATAAAATAGAGTAAACTGTGGCACATTATACTCGTCATTTAAAAAGTAGTCGAATACTTTGCCGGCGTCAGAGATGATGATATCTCAGTTGAGATTTCGTGAGCAACAAACGCATTTCTACTGATGCAACTTACCTAGTAGGTGAAGCAGTCAATACTTCCGACCACATCGCTCCCTATCCTTAAACTACACGTAGTTCGAAGCACGATTTTAGGATCCCAGGGATACTATTCCGTGAGTTCAAATCGTTAGCATGGATCACAAAATTGTCAGGAATCAAACATGATGGTTTAGTGGCAGATAGATGCGACGAAAGAATAAAAGGTAAAGATTTGAAAGACATACAGTGATCAAAAGAGATTTATGTGTTGACACGGTTGTGACGGTGGTCGACACTTCTCCGACGTCTACACCGTGGAGGGTTATTTCTTATTGAGGTACCTGAACGACGAAGTGGATTAATAAGTTTGGTATTATTAACCTGGATGCATAATCGCAAAGCTAAAGAGAAATTTCCCAGATCTTGGTCGTACACAGCCTTTCGGGAATTTTTAATTCGTAGTTGGTTGGATTTTATCTGAACTAGAGAAACTAATTCAGGCCAGCAACCGAAGATTGCAGGTTAGGGATAAGTGTGTTTATTTTAAGAACCTGAGGATTCCAAACTCAACGCCCTCCTATAACGGAAAGTAGCAATACAATCCAATGCTGGTCATCCACTGGAAACGAGCCTCCGCTGTAAAATCTTACTCACCAACTTTCCTTTACACTCCCGTTATAAAACAAGCTGCTTGCACTATAACAACATTTGCTTTTGATCACGTAACTATCCAAAAGACCTGGTGTGGTAGGGACTCAAGGAATGCTTATTTCGGTCAGTACAGTTCGCGGGGTCATTCTGACATGCCAGCCTGATTACTGCATCATGGTGGCAGCTATCGGTTACTAGTATGGGAAAAAATCAATATGTAAGTAATGTAGAAATTGGGTACAGAATACATGGTAAACGAAATAAATAAGTCGACGAAACAATCATCTTTCGAGGGCTATATTATGCTCACCTAGAAACTCAACAGATAAATGAAATCGGAAGATAATAGAAACCAGGTGATTAGATCAGTATGTGACTACGATCCATGAGATCTACAAGCTTATGCGCAGCGCAACGAAAACCACAGAATAGATAGTTGGAATCTAAGAAACAGCTGCAATTGATGGCTGAAGACTCCAAAACCGAAAAAGAATGCAGAGCTTCAAATGCATCTTCGTTCAAATTTTCCTTCAAACTCTGACAACTCAGTTACTGGCTTTTTCATTTCCTTTTGACGTTTACTTAGTTTCATTGGTTTTTATTCTCACCACTAATAACACCATTGCATTTATTCCCTTGTATTTCCTAGTTTATCCACTTTTGTTGTTCCAAAGTGTAGAAAGTGTATGATGGGTCTCAATATGTTCATGACCAGTAAGTTTCTTTCCACTTTTTCGATTTTCTTCTATCGTTCTTTCTGAACATCCATAATACAATAGTATAATTGATACTAATGTGAAAAATTACGATTGTTAGTATGTTGAGTAACGGACATTTTCATCAGTTGACCAACAGTTAAGAGTGCTTCTTCTTTCCATCACATAGTGAAAATGTTTTTAAAAAAGAAAAAATCACGCTTTGGTTTACTGATAACATGCTCCTCAAGCACTTATCTGTCATACTTGAAAGTGATTGCAAGTGAAACAGACAGACATACAGAAACAACTCAAAACACTGCACACAAGTGCACCAGTTCATGTTGCCACACTTCATAGTAGTATACAAACACAAATAGATAGAAGAGTGATATCAAAATTTAAAAAGTTGTGTGAGGGAATAAACAATTTGAAGATAAAGGTCAGTGCAAATATTCAAGATTTAGAAGACGTCAAAGAGTGAATATATCTGCGTCATTGTGACCGACGTCCACCCATGTCACCAAGAGTCCTCAACCATTGATTCCTATTGTCTCCGTGACCCTAGTCAGGTAGTCGTTATCTCCCAATACAGCTCAAACCAACAGTCAGGGGCCTCATGAACTGGTGCCACGTCTAGGTATGATCACTCTGAACCCTTTTCCAACCTAATCCAGCTTCCCCTACCAAGGTACATCGGTGATTCGTAATGTGCAGCAAATGTTTAGGTCATCTCAGTCAAACAATATTCACAATCTTATCAATTGACTTGCCTGTCTTGTCTAGTATCCTTCACCTGACCCCTAACATTGCTCACACGGTGATTCCACCACACCCGAGCAATGCTACGACATCTGTGATCAAAACTTTATAATCGCTTCGTATCGTCTACTTTTAACGGTCATGTCTCACAGTCATACAACAAGACACAACGGACTGCAGTGCAGTATATTCATCCTTTGATGAATAGTCGGATATCTCGCCAGTCGGCATCATAGGTGACACAGGTTGGCAAATGTCAAACGCGCCTTCTGTATCCAACCTGAGATTTCGTCAGCAACCAGCCTTTTCAGGTTGATGCCAATCCCCAAGTAAGTGAAGTGGTCGACACATCCTCCCACTTCACTCCATATCATTCAACAAGGAGTAGTTATAGCATACTAATCCTTTCTGTAGCATCACCTTACATTTGACAAGTCCCAGTGAAACAAATGCCAAAAATAGTCAGATTTCAGCTCAACGTATTCCGAAGACTCTTCACTTCGTTACCGGCTCCACTTAGCAGAACAATATGGTCTGCATACTTCAAGTCAACCAGATGCCCTCCTCGAAGGGAGTAGATCAATCCCTGTGAAGTTAGACGTACCTAACCTTATGTACACTAGTAAATCTATAACGCAGTTAAATAGGAATGGTGATAGTGGGAATTTCTGGCGGGTCCCACTAGTTGTCATCAATTGAGATGATAATTCTCCATAAGCCCTTACACGATTGCGTGATTTCGAGTAGAAATACGACGATTATCATCCTGGAACTAGTAAGTAATTAGTGAGATGTTATTATTCAAACATGATACAGTCGACTTTGATGAGACATGCAAAGGTCTTTTATGAAGATTACAGTGTTTTTTGTGATTGTACAAGTTCATCTGAATAATAAACGTGCAGAAGAAGTGATATCTACGTTAGTAGACCTAATAAAATGGGATGAAAAACCGAGTTATCTCAGATTATCAGTAATTCCTTAAACTTCCTTATCAAAGGAAATTTATTGCTATTATTACAAAATGTATAACACAACTATCCTAATTTCTACCATTGTATGTCATCTCTTTTTCCTCACAAAAAAATTGACGCACGTTCAATTGTTCATCTATTATTTGATGTAGAAGTGTATCCTACCACCGTGCTTAGATTACACTCTCATGTTACAAAATTAGTGTCCTTAACCTATATGCATTACTCTACACTTTTTACATATACCTTAAACATGCATAGCAATGTCTGAGAGTCTCTACAAATTACCTGGTCTCGTTAAAGCATCAATTCCAGGTAACTTGTTCAAATCTAGATCTCCGCCTCCAGAAGAGTTAGGAATAGTGATTTTGAAATTGGCCAATTCTGTTTCGTAAAGTTTCAACACATCTTGGGGTGCTTGCCTTTTCGGATCAGATGAAAAGATACGAATCATTGAGTCACTGTAAACAATTCAAAAGACAATCATTTCTTTTAGTAGGAGAAATTAAGCAAAATTGTAGCGGTATGCAAATAATATTACCAAATATACTGATTATAGTTCCTCATAACTCGCCTTAAGTTGTAATTTGACATAGCACAATGAGCTTGGAAAGTAAAAATAACTAAAAAAAACTGACTTCTTTCTTATATCTTCACTCTCGCATAGACTTTATCGGGACTTTAAGTACACTCAAGAAACCCTGATAATAATCGACTGACATACAGAAATTCCCATTTCTGCCAGGTCTTATCTTCTTCATTTACGTTGACGGATGATCCTAATGAGAATAGAAACCAGAACTCATGATAACAAATAGGCAAAGAAATTATATACGAATCATCAGGTTAGCTGTAAGGGTAGAAAATATTGCAATCTTACAATAGAATAATTTTTAGCACGTCTTGACCTCAAAAAACAGATATTAATAACCAGAATCAGTTCTCATGTAACCAAGAATCATAAGAGAAATGGCGACTCAAGAACAAACTGTTAACTATGCAGAAATATCCGCAAGACGACTCAATGTCTGTTACCCTGAAAGGATTAGTAATATGAGAAGTTCCCTTTACTTTTCTATTCAAACATATAGACATAAGTGCATGTTCGCATTTTGTGTGTAGAATCAAAATTTGTGGAAAATGTGATCCGTACGTAAGGATTTCCAATAGACATTGCCAATTTATTGCTGTTTGAGTGAACCCAGGCAATGTGAACACGGTATAAATACCGTTTCACGGATTAGATACTAATAAGCTTCGCACCCATTAAATATCCATACTTTCCACTTAGCCATTAAATCACGGTGCAGGGAAGAATTTCAGGTAGTGATGACACTGCTCAAGTTTACTCTAAATGCATCTATCCAATAATGTGGAAGTATACATCAGTCATTTCTGCCGCATTTGAATGCAGGTATTTTGTGATATCCAAGGTTAATGATTCATGATTGGAAACTATATCATCAGTATCCAACTCCAAAAACAAGTTCTTGTGTCTACTAGATTACAAGTATAACTAACTGATCAACGAATGCTTGTATCCAAACGTAAAAATTTCACTCAGCATGTATTTTTTCTTTGCCGAAAATGGATGGTCAAAGTTTAAAGTGGAATATGCCGGAAGATTCACAGTACCTCAAGCCATTAAAGTGTATTGAGAAAGTATGATGTGCGTGGAATATTACTAAAATACCTTAAACTTAAAGATATATCTGTCAAATGATCTCTCTTCACGAAATCGCAGTTCTGAACCTGACTAATACACTTCCAAGATGTGAACCACTATGTTGCCTGAAGTAAAGGCAAGGTGGACAGACCGAAACAGTGTCAAATCGTCCAAATACTGAGTGTTGCTTTGAGTTCTAGGATGTACAAGTGAAGCTGCTAGATACAGCCACATGAAAGAAATCCACAAGTACTACTTAAAGTGACGACTTAAGGTTGATTTCAGTAGTGCATACCATATTTCACTTTTCTAACTCTCGTAACTAAGCAGTATCTGATTGTAATTTAATATCTACTCGATTCTCAATCCCATTTTTTTCAATTTTATGAATTCGTTCCCACACTACTACCTAGAACAAAGATAACGTAAACCTCTTAATTCTTGTGCTAAGTGTCAGCTGAAATAGTTGGCTTGCAAACCGAGCATCCTTCAGTTAAACATGTGACTGAACGTTCGTTAGATTATAAAGATAGAATTCAGCTGGAACATACTACAGTTACCTCCTAAGGATCATGAAACTTAGTCAACTTTAAAAAAACAACTTAAAACTTGATCAATATGACAACACGTTTTAAACTAAGCTTTGCATCATTTTTGTTAAGTAAAACTCAAGGCTTACCTTCCTCCAACAATAATATCACTATTCGGCATCAAAGCTACACACCAAGCTGATTGGCAAGGCAGTGAAATAGTCTGAAGACAACTAAACTGTTTCCCTGGAGCCAAATCAGTTGAAGCAGGTATAGGCCAAACACGAACACTTCTATCTTCACCACAAGAAACGAATTTCGGAAAGTTAGGTAAACTAGCCAATCCATATACAAAATTTGTGTGCCCATAAAATTCGCCAATACACGTACCGGTAGCGGCGTCCCAAGCTCTTATGCTGGCATCATTGCTTGCTGACAAGAATCGTGAATCATCAATACGTGTTAAAGCACGTACACAGTCTGTGTGCTCACTTAGAGAGTTTAGTAGAATAATTTCTGGAGAAACTCCATCTTGATCAAGACTACGAATACACCACACACGTATAGTCCGATCAGCTGAACCAGTAATAATGATCATATCTCCGACATGATTAGCTACACTTCCCTCCGGCATAACAAGTACGCACCAAACTGCTGCTTCGTGCCCTAGATAAGAAAAAACGATACGAATACCTTATTGAATGAAGGGATACTACAGGGTCAGACAGCGAACTTCCGTTGGAGCGCTAACATAAAAATAAGTCAAGCTCAGTATATATGCAAAAGTTCATGAGCTAAGTTAAATACCACTATGTTGCAGGTGAAAAAAATATCGGGCTACCAAAGGTTGCGCTGCGGCTAATCTCCCTAAGCTTTCCACTTTCAACCAGTAGGTCAGGAGTTACAATCTCACTCCACCTACCGAGGTTCAGGAAGCCAGATATCATCATCAGTACTAAAACAATAGGTGAGGATCAGTGTCTACTGCACGAACATGCACGTGGTTCCAGATTTTTATCGAAGATTATACCAGTGGATACGAATTGAAACCATGAGTACTTACATTAACATACCAAAAATAGGGCCCCACAGAGACTAGAACTGCCATGCCGGCAAAAACTCGTTGGTTACCTAATGATCTTGTCCGTTATTAACTAGTTCTCTTTCGTGAACAACTCACAATCACCTTATCTTAATCACATCTTTTGCACACACTTGATATCTTCCATCACTTTACGAAACAGTGACACTAATTCAGTTAGCTAGCAGTAATACTTTATGAACACTAGTCATTTTCGTGTATTGCGTTACTTGCTATTAGACCGTGGCGAAAAAGTAGATACCAAGGTCTTGAGTTAAAGTAGATTTGCCCACACCGAGCTGATGCTCACTCAACTAGTTCCTTAGTATCAAAATCCCTTATCTCAATACATTTGTTTCATCTCATTTTACATAGTAGTTTTTCAAACATCTTTCTACTTCACTTTCCCCTTTCGCCTTCGATGTTACTTTAAAGCATAGTAACGTAAAGCTATGATCTTTTTTGCAAGATGATGCATTGGTTTGTCTGTCGAAAAGGGTTTCAGAGTGGTAAATCTGCGGTTTAGTGAAATCGAAAAATGTCTGCTAGTGTGTGGATCTGGGACACTTTGCATTTGATTGTTTTCTATGTTTCTCCACTTTTTTAAAATCCAGTAAATGATGTTATTCATTTGTTACACTTCTGTTTTTCATTTTGTTAGTAGTTCCTATCAGGAAATAGAGCAAACATTTCATCGAGACGGCCTATATTTTACACTATTTTAGATTGTGTCAAAATAAAGCTGATTTTCATGCAGTAGCATAATTTTACCCACGGGAATGAGAAACATCGAAGAAACACTCTAAAATGTAAACTCTAACGGTAAAATGCTTTATGCATATATAGTCTCACTCCTAGACTACTCTGAAATAAAATCTAATTTTAGGAACTTCTGATGACAGATAATTAATAACACTTTTTTGACTTCTAATCATGTAGACTTACAAAAATGTGTTGTTTGAAACTCACCTGAAAGAGTGGCAATGCATTTTTCTTTCTTCCAGATTTTTACTGACTTATCCAAGAACCACTAATGATGGTTTTATGACTTCCGACTGCCAAAGTGCATACTAATTCGATAAAGCAATGAGTAAACCATGTGCACTCTTCACATACCCGTATCTGTATGTCCTTCGATTGTGAAAATGGGTTCCGGGGACTCAAAGTTATACCCTCTTATTAGTTTATCATGGGATCCCGTTAAGATAAGGCATTCGTTTTCTAACTCTTGATAACATACAGCTGATACATAATTTGTGTGTCCAAGGAGAACCGAATCTTCACAGCCATCACAACCTTTCCTATGAGATATAAAAATTACTGACAATCAACTGAAGGATACATTGAAAAGATTCAAGTAGATCAAATTACATTTTTGTACTTCGACGTGTTTTTCTTGCTGCTAAATTGTTGGACCGTTTAAAAATAATGAATGAAAACAACTATTTACATGTTGGAGGTAATCACGGTTGTTGGTAATCCTAAAGAATACCAACTTTGCACTCAGAGTGAAGATTAAAGACCACTGCTCAAGTCAGATAAGATACCATAGTATTGTCGTGTACTTCACGCTGGTCTGAAACACATACGTGGTAATTTAGCAGTGTGAGTACTCGACCTTTAGTGACTTCATGAAACAATTTACTCATGTTAGTTGGTCCGGGGCAATTTATAGGAAGCGCTGAATCTGGATCTTGTGCTTGCTGGCACTCGTTAGCAAGACGCATCCATAACCTTGAGAAAACTGATTCCCTCTGTGACTCAAACCCACGTCAACCAGTGCTGGGCTCAAAGGCGCTAGCACTGAGGCAATCTGACCGCGACTGGCTTCTTTTTGTCTTATTCCGAAACTTGAAATAGTCATGTAGTATTCACACTGGTCTGGATCAAAGGCAAACTCATACGTATTCCCAAGGATACTGAATTTTGCTAACAATGACATTGATTCAAAACCTGGGAGGAACTGCTGAGGCAGACAAGAGGACCACAGCATATCACTGACATCCATATATCATAAAGAAAACAACCAGCACGACAGCATGCTTATTCTGCTAAACACTTACACTAATTCACTTCTAAATTCATTCCAAAAAAACGAGATAGGACGAACAGAACAGTAACTTACTGGTCACAAAAATGTATTACAATCCACCCGTTGAAGCTTTTTGAGCCATAATTCAATTTGCTCAATGACATACGAGTTCATAAACGAGCCAAACAACAGTCAGATGACTGTCTAGGAAATTAAGCGACATTCGAAGCTTATACTGACCTGTCAGCAGTTTAGGGACTCGTGTCTAGAACATAGTTATGTTGATGATTCAGAGTGATTTCTTTCTTTGGTCGATGTCATAACAACGCACCTAATTTACCACCTGCTGACATCCTAAATAATATTATATCCAGTTACTGAAATATCTAATAAGATACTTTTGCATTTTGTGACCGTAGTAAAGAGAATAAATTGTTTATCTCAATCATTACCACGGTGGCCTTTGAAATCACACTCCAGGAGGCCTAAAACAAATATTATTTCCTGAACTAAATACTTGTCAAGATTCATGGACTTAATTGGGGCATCACTGCATTCTGCAAACTGTAGTTGCCACCGCACCCAGCGTATCCAACTAACAACCCATAAGACTATGCAGGATCCGACTGTCATGACCTTACGCAAGATAGAATTACAGACAAGTATCAAAAGGCGAAACAACGCTTGCACCCAGTAGGAACCGTATCAAAAAACACCATCTTGTTCAAGAATCGACCGGTTAAATTCTAAGGCGAATGCAAATGCCACTGTGAAAATCAATCTGATATTTTTGAGATTGGACTTATGAAGATGATTGGACCAAACGGATTTTGGATACGATCTAAACTTACAGAAATTCGATAAGATTGTCAAATGTTGAAAAATATTTGCAGCTCAGGATGAGGATGGTGGTGGTTTGGTGTTCTTTGAGCTTAAATGTTTTTTCGTGAACGTTTCATCATCAGCCTCGGAAACATTTTCAGCATTAACTTCATAAAACACATGTTTGTGGAGTTAGTTCTGAAGATGTCATCAAGCCTGGCGATGAAACGTCCACAACAAAGTATCAAAGCTCAGAGAACACCAAACCACCACCGAGATTATCAGCACTAAGATACACTTATAACGATGAAGCGAATAACCTGCATTTTCTTTAACGTGGTGAACATCTCATGATAAGACAACCAAGGCATTTGAATCAAAGAACTGTGAACATAAAGCTTGATTAAGAAGACAAGACAGAAGTATGTGACCAGTATATTATCAGCCAATAAGTGACAAATATATGCTCTCCCTGAGTTACATATACAGTATAGTGTAAAAAGAATCAGACATTTATGGGGATAAAGGTAAACAATAGATCTACAAGAGCAACCACTACACATGACCCAAGAGCTAGTTGATAGCGCGAATGAATTTTCAAATTTTAATTAGTTATTTTAATTCCGCCCAGTGACAACATCGAGTTCAAGATGTATGAAGGGATGCTTCATTGGTCGATCCCCAAAACATGAACCATTCAGTTCTTGTTTCTTACTACATACCATATCAGTTTTATAGAATTTTTCTGTAATAATGACTGCATTTTATGGTTATAGAGAAAAAAGCTAATTGTGAAAATGCATTTCACGACAAGTAGTTACAGTTATGAAACAAAAAGGAACCAACTTTGAAATGTGCCATGTCCTTGCTGTCAAATCCCTTGAAGCAGAAACGATTTTACTATCTGAAGGGCAGCATACTGCACGGACATCGCTCGTGTGGCCAGATAGAGTACATCTAAGTTTGTAGACTTCAACCATGCCCAAAAGTGTAGTTGTAGTTAGTTCAACTCCTTAACGAATTCGATTCAAACAACCTGTAAGAGTACAAAATAGCACACTGTCGACAAAACACAAAACTGGGGTGTTTCTGATTTGCATATATATTTAAATATATATCCATATACCTAGTTGGTAAGGCGGTGCACAAGGAAAAATCAGGATGTTGCAGCAAACCATCAAATCCTGTAACACTACCTCCAGCAGCTTCCGCAGATAAGTTCCTATTAAAATTCGGTAGCAGCGAAGTTTTTGATCGCATATGACAATAATGTACAGTACTGTTGAGCGATTCACCCACTCAATTTCTCTTTAAACTCTGATTACTAATATACGAAACCACATAAGTTAAAAATTAATACCTCACCAACAGCAATCGTAAAAGCTGCACACCACATATCAAGCGGTGTTGAGAGTGTTATTACCAGACTTTCACTCTGACCAAGCAGGAAATCCTAGTTCAACACCTTATACGTAGCAAGTTTCATTTCTAGAAGGCACCAACTAACTTCATGAACTAAGAGTGTATAGGGCTGAGTTGTGAGCAGGCACACCATATCGCTTAGTACTTTACATTCGGACTCTTATGGTAGTGTTGCGATATGGGGAACAGATACCGTGTGAGACCTGGCATTCACCACCTGCGTTCTTAGCTCTTATCCTGTTCTTTTTTATTGCATACATCCTCCTTGAAATGTGGGAATATTTCAGCAAGGTAAACACATCGAGATTACGCTTATCAAATAAACATGCGCTACATAGATATCCCTCTTTCATGAAGACGAAGATACTATCTACTGAGAAATTGGGTAATTAGTGAAATTTTTCATCTACAATATGAGATAAATCTGGTCAGGTCCATGCTTTATTGCACAAAGTAACCAATATCACCGACTGCTTTTCTACCAGGACAATTACTTTACTCAGTAGGCTGCTTAACCACCAAAATCGACCGAAGATTCAAAGATGAAGGCAGAAAGACCTACACATATCTGACAACTCCATATCATCAAGGTATGTTAGCTAGAGGTATATTAAGAATAACCGAAAACAAAGAGAGACCATGACATGCCCTGCATGCCACTATCAACTGGGACTAGAATGAAGTGGAAACTTAGAGAATGAATACAACTAGAAACAGAAAAGTAATGGTCGCCGAGGTTGACATCTATCTTGTTAGATCTTTATACATCGACGAGTGCATCCCATCACATTAGAGAAAATAGTGCTCAAACTAGAATAGGATGCAACTATGTAGTGCCCAAGATTATCACAACAAACAGCACCAGTAATAAAAAATTCACACATGAAAAGGTGGAATATATGGTGTGAATGGCTGGCTTTTGGAAAGCATAGAAAATATGGGCGCAACGGGATCGTTATCACTGGTCTACACTTTCTTTCTCTTTCCTACAGAAGGATGCCTTCAACTTAAAGATCCCAACCAACGACAATATTTCTCCCCTGGAACCTAGGGATTCAGAAAACGAAGAGGTGAGTCACACTTTTGAGACACTTGGAAATATTTTTAAACATGTCATCTGCTCGCTTAGCATTTACCAGAGATGTGTTTGAGATACGTGAACATGACCAAACATTTTCCCTATTTGTAACTACCTGTCATTCATTGTCCACTGTTTTATATCGGCATTCATCGGGAACTTAAATCTAAACGGGAATTTGTATACTCTGCTTCCCTTCTTGATTATCATCGGTCACAGATGTCATGAGAGTTAAATGACTATGCCTTTATAAGGTGTAAAGAGTAGGAGACATTAAACTTGTAGCTTAATCCCATTTTCTGTTAAGCCTTAATGAAAAATGAAACCACACAAAACAAGAGCTTGCCAATATTTGAAACATTGTCCATAAAGTTGACAGGTTAACATTAATTAAAACCCTTAGTCGAACCGCGCCAGTGCATGGGATCAGCATCCGTTTACACATATGACCCTATACAAAGACATCGATTTGGTAAGTGCTGAAAAAGTTGAATTAAATGCATAGCTTCGACCATGACAGTCACACAACTTTCAAAAACGCATTTAAGTTCAGCATCCCCGCGGTCACAGAATGAATACCGATAACCGATTATTTACAATTTGGGGGGAAGATAATTAAAGCTTGAATCAGAGATTGCAACACGAAATAGAAACCATGATATTAGTTGTCCAGACACCTAAGAGAATGGAATCGTACCGGAAGCTCACTATATGAATTACTGCAGTCACATTTTCAATTTTCCTTGAAACTGACAACAGAGATACAGACCAAGGTAATATCTGGCACAATCCTGCATCAAGTTGTCGTTTCACGGTAGTATATGAAGAAACCACGGACAAGAAACGAGTGACAACTAGCTTGCCGATTTGATCACAAAGCTGGAAAGTATCACTGATAGGGAGAAGTAAAATAGTAACTAAGATGTGTATGGTTGCAAATAACCACACGAACAAGAACATGAACAAGAAAAACACTGACGATTAGGGAACAGAACAGACCTCCTTGGCGTAAAACGATGCCCAACGTTTAGAACAAGGTTAATTGAGACACATCTTGGGCGCCACCGATTTTTAACATCGCCACACGGCTTCAAACCAGTAAGTCCCACCAACCTGCAAACCTATAGTAGACTGGTGTCATGTCTTGGTTCGACCGGCTTCGCCTTTTATCCAACTTACACCTATCAAAGTGAAAATAAGTCACATGGTCCGGTTGATGACTATAGGTTACTTGGCGCACCAACTTACAACATGCTGGATTTATGATAAAATAAACTATATGATTATTATCATCTCATAACTCAATTAAAGTTCCTAGATAACTCCATGACTGAGCGATGTCAAGGCTAGAGATGTCCTTGCATAATTCAAGATAACCTTAGAATATATCAGCCGCTTACTATTAAGTCTCTACCGATACAAAAGAACACCTTAGATATATTGACATCCATCAACACAGTACTTGACATCACTGTTACGGTCCAGATTATTACTCCGAAATCAGTACAGAGGGCAGAAGGTGAGAAAGAACAAGGAAACAAGGAACGATAGAGAAAAGCCATGAACAGAAGTAAGGGTACTAAGAGGAAGTGAAGAGATAGGATGTGACGACAAAAATAGACGAAATGTGGACGTATCTACACGAAGAAAATAGAGGAAGAACCTCGGTCCAACTCACCACACTTCACAGCAGCACCTGAGAAGCAAATGATCACAGTGATATTAAAGTGGATGAAAGTGTGTGAGAGGAGGGATAATTTAAAAAAGGTTATCGAGAATGATTATATTTTCCAAAATGTTGAGGAGTGAATATATTAGAGCCATCACGAAAAGTTTTCAGCCAAATCGCCGTCTGCGACCATGCATCCCCATAGCCGTGAACGATTGAGAAACACAAAATAGGGACTCGCAAACTGTTAGTTATTTAAGAGACTTCTGTTAGAAAGACATCATCGTATACTAACGGGAGCAAGAAAATAATTCACGGATTCACACATCGCCTTTGAGAGTAAGCTAACGACACTATTACTCAATTATGTGAGGGAGGACAGAATATGGAGTGAACTTTAAGACTTGAATAAGTTTTACCATAACTATGGTTTTCTAAGGTGGGCATTACAGGAGTTCATTTTGATTGAATTCCACGATCAGGTAAAAGTGACATTGGACATTTTCAAACCTTCCACATACATGTCGGCAATAAAAATGTCGGAATGCTCATGCTTCCCACATTTTAATCAGATAAACTTCGAGAAGTTAAGAGACTAGCAAAGGAGCACAAACAACTGAACAGTATACTTTCCCGAGCAATACTTTCGTCGGACTAAGTGTGGCAATGTTCGGCCACTTGCTATAGACAATGCGGGGGGGTAAGATGTTGGGCCTGACTTAAGGCTTTGAAACGTTTACCCTGCGTCTGCTTCACTGTTTCTAGGACCCGCATTTAGTCCCACATTAAGCACACTTGGCCTTACGTCTGATTGCAATTCACTACAATGAGCCCAGTGCGTGTACATCCTGTATGATGCTCAACATTAGATTTATGGTCCAACAATGTTCTATTTGACCCAGAGAGAACGTTGGTCGACTTTTGACTTCCTGTGCTATATTTAGCAGATCTCAAGACTAAGCATGGCGAGAATTTCTGTCAATAGCCTAATGTTAAACCTACAATTCTTCTTCGATAAATCTTATTTTATCTCCTAATGCTCGATGAATAACCGCCACACTATGTGAGCGTCACATCCCAACTAACTTCAAGTCGTAGAACAACCTTGGAAGTTATATCTCCCGCCCCCTTCTTATTCCAATCCAATATCCAATATTGATAGTGCGAGCGTATAAAAATGATAGTTTTTGATCTTTCGTGTCTAGTTCTTAGGGCTTGATCCCGGGGGTTCGGTTCACTCCTGCAGTAGACGAGGAAATCCCCTCTGCTTTCTTCCTTTTAGCTTCGGTGAGGTGGATGTTTTGTGGGTTAGTAGGTTATAATTTGTAGAGTGATTAGGGAGCTACGGGTTGCTGGGAAGTTTAGAGAACTGACGTGACTCCTGTCTGTGTAATGCAAGGACAAACTATTATCCAACAGCCAGAAGGGAAGATAGCAAATCAAGTAGATGACGTCCATTTTAACAGTAATTTTCATCCGTATTCTGTCAGTGAATCTTATAAATGTAGCTCTTCAGGTGGCTGTAGCAAAGTGAGTGTCAATGCATTTGGTGCAGGAATGTTCAATGCTTCACATGGTTGTTGACGGAATAGAAGAAGCTCTCGCTTAACCAGCCTCCGTGTCTAGAATCTGTGGATCACTACTTCTTGTGGTTGTTAACCTGTCTACAAGTACAGAGAGAGGAAAAGTATCGATAAAGTGTGAAAATTCAGTTAGTTCTGTGCAGATCCCAGCCGTATGACTAATAAGTACTCAGCCTGCTTATAAAGGATTCAGACGAGGTGGCCTGGATCACGGCTGCGGGAGTACTA